TTTATGGCTGCAGTGATGTAGTTTGGTGTAATTGCAGTTAAAGCTTTTAGGAATGTAATGAGTAGAAATGGTCAAAGGTTTGATGTCGAACCTAAACATTAGGGTTTTTTAATTGGATTTGAATTGAAATAGTCTTCCCCCCCCTCCGTTAGGGTACGTAAACAAAAAACAAATGAAGAAACTGAGAGCAGAGAAATTCCACTTTTTTTTTGGACATCTCGGAGGGAATGTGTTGAAAAATTCATGCCCGCGCTCTTCTCACACCTGACTCCTTCACCCTGTGGCTGTGAACCTATCCATCACCTCATCACAGTGTGAAAGCGGCGCTCCTGCAGCCCTTCACTCACTCTTCTGTCTGATCAGTATTCTGCTCCCATCCACCACTGTTAGCCAGGTTTTAGAGTCTGATCGCTCACTCTTTTCCTTTTCAACCTTGAGTTGCCCGAAGCAGGGTCAGGAATAATAACCAATCAGATTCCCACCCCGGCCCTGATCTACACGGAGGCCAAACACAGCGCGTCGGGAGCTTTCTGCCACATTTAAATCCTGTCTTTTCAACCCGGTCCATGTCTCCACAATCTGGCTTCTGTACTTGCTCCAAATTGGAAGCGAAGATCTTTGTGAATCTTTTGTATCGTCTAAATATCTCTCTCTCTCTTTTTCTCTCCTTTCTCGCCACTATTTTTCACACTGCGGCTCATTTACATTCACTGTACAAAAGCGCTTCTCCCGTCTCTTTTCTTAGAAAATTCTCCAAAGTGAGAGAAACTAGGCCATTAGGCTGCAGCACAGCTTCCTCCCCCTCTGCTCTCCCCCTGTCGCTCTCACCGTTGCCTGCTCGGTTGCCTTAGATTGCCTGAAGTATCTCAGAGTCTTTGTTTTTTTTTCCCCAGAGTTGTGTAACCTTTCTTTTTCGCTTCTGTTTCTCTCCGTCTCTAAAGTTCTAACATGTCCTGCCTCAGACTTCTTCCTTTTTTTATTTTTGCTAGAATCGTCCGTTTTCTCCCCCGTCGTCCGTCATCATCCACGCACGGGTCCAGAGAGGATGTATTTGATGATGTAAAAATTCTCCAGTGCCAACAGTTTCTCCTGTGATAAACTACAAACTACACGTGTCCAAGTGATCCACAGAGTCCATCACACTTGCACATTGTCTAGTAGATGCTTTTGTTACACTGGTGATGTAATCTGACCCAAACCCATGAACTCTACAGCAGTAACAGCTACAATTTAAAAAAAGAACATTCTCAAAACAAGTCAAACCTTCAGAAAAAAACAGCAAAATTATAATTAATGCAGTTGTTAATAAAATTATCCGAAATGGCTTTTTATGTCAAAATGAAAGCAAAGGCGAAGTTTATATACAGATTAATGCTGGAACAAGATCAACAGAAAATAACAAGATAGCAAGATAGGAAAGGTAAATTGCAAAACTTAATCGCCCAAAAAATAACCATAAAAACCACAGTGAAAAAATCTATTGTGAATTGATGAAAGTCAACACAGCAAGTTGTTTAGTTGGCGATAATGGCCTGAAAAAAATTAATGGTTAGCAAAGCAATTTTTAGTAGCTGGCAGTAATCATAGTGGTGTAAATATGGCTGATATTTTAAATATAATTTATTGTAACAAAAGTAGTAAAATGTGGGAAGCAACAAATAAAAAACGGTTGTACAAATATTCAAAAACTAAAAGTTTGCTCAGAGCAAATATTTGAACATTTTAACAAAACGGGTTTCTGTCGTTTTTGTCAGTTTCCTGTTTGAATAACGTGACAAGTTTTTCATCCTTCTGTCACTGAATGCCCCTCATACACTCCCCACTCTATCTAGCTCCGCCCACATATTCAGTCTGTTTCCATTGGTCGGGGTCTGGCCCGGATCCCTCCGGAGTTAATCTGCTGCTATAACTAATGATGCTGCTGCTGCTGCTGCTGCACCGCATCGCATTAACCTGGTGCTACCTTGTAAGAAGCTCACTGACGTGAAGCTAAGCTGCTGCATGAACAACAGCCACCATCACACACACGCAGACCTGCCGACACGTCTGTTGTTATTAGTGCGGGAGATTATTGATTATCGAATCAAAGATCGAACGTCTAAAAGTATTCAAAAGAGAGGTTAGCTTCTTTTAATGCATTGAAAGGCAGATAAGGAAAGGAAATGACGTTAGCGGAGTTAAATTTAGCGACGATAGCTTAAAGATACTCCAAGAATGAAAGGCAGATAAGGAAAGGAAATGACGTGGAGCGGAGGTCAATTTAGCTACGATATCTTAAAGATACCCCAAGACTACACGTTAGCTGTGAACTACAGAAGCCCAGCTCAAATAATTTACATCCTGGGTTTTGTAAATATAACCACATATTTTACTGAGATCTTTTTGAATTTAAAGGTCAAATTCAAACATGTCAACAAAATAGTTGCAAATGATGGAAAGGAGACGTAAAAAAAGAGCTGCTAGCTCACCCTGCTAATGATTTTGCTGCATCTAACATAAGTGTTCGTAACAAGTGTTCGTAACATTCTAGATTCTAGAACCAGCTAAGCAGCTCAGCCCTGCTAATGATTTTGCTGCATCTAACTTAACTGTTCGTAACAAGATTCTAGAACCAGCTAAGCAGCTCAAGAAAATATGACGCTGTTGGTGAGTTCAGGGTCACAGAAAATCCAGTTTTCTTTCATTATTTTTCGTATCAGTCTGCAGGCTTCAGTCCTGTTCTTCAGTCCTGTTCAACTGCAATTTATTGTATTAGACGAAGAAATCCAGGCTTTCAGAACATCAAAACGCTGGAAATTGTTCCGCCACTTATTGGGGAACAACACTCCACCGCTCTCGAGCTGTTGTTATAACTGCCCCCCCCTCCCCTCCACCTCACCACAGCCTTCATTTTCCTTTATTATTCTATTTCTTCTCAGTCCTGCGCAGCATCAAAATATGCTGCTCTGGTATAAAGTGACGCACAGAGTCCTTTCGTTTAACGAGCAGCTCCGTCAGCACTTTAGACTCCAAGATCTCGCTGCAAATTGAGATTAGCTCACAGGTTGGTGTCTCACTGGCTTGTTTCTTATTAAATCGCTGTATAATAAAATAACACCAGCTAACAACAGCCCAGACGTCAGGCTAATGTTCACTGAGTAAACCCGACGATTTTAATTTACGGTTCAGGAAAATTGCTTCAAGATGGACAAAGTACAAAAAAAAAGTGCGGAGCTGAGAATAATGCACACTTATTGCCAAAGCTGCTGCTCCACCTCTTACTACACCCACAACACTGTAATTACCCCAATGCACTGAGTTGTTGTTGCTTGTCTGGGTAACGTCGTGCTTTCTAAACATTTGTTTTTTTTTAGACTAAACAGTAGCAAATAGACTCAGTTGTTTTATTTAAATGTCGCTGCTAAGGTCGGTGAGGTGGTGTGTGTTCTCTATTTAGCTAAACTACAGGCTACACCTATAAGTAAATATTAGCAGAGTTAAATTTGAAGCAGCATTAGGTCTGTTAGTGCAGCTCTTTAGGGCCAAACATTGCTAGTTTCTATCCATTTGGGGGGGAAATTCTAACTGTTGGGCTGTTGATCTGTGTTTGTAGCTAACCTTTAGCTACAGTGCTAGAGATTATGATCATTGAACTGCATTTTTGTAATAAGTTTTTTGCAAGTTCTTTCTTTTTGCTAACTGCAAGCTGCGTCTGATCGTCTGAAGATTTATACATTTTCTTGCTAACTGTAGGTTGTAGCGTGTTTTTGCTTGTTGCTCTCTTTATTGTGGTCTTTTTTCTGTTGGGTAACTTTGGTTGATTTTGGCTAACATTCTGTGCCTATTTCTTATTTTTTGACACATTTATGGCTGCTTTTCCTAAGCTACGGAGGAGATAAGAAACATTGGTGCTGTTTGTGTATTTGTCATTGGACTACTCTTAAAAAGAGTTTAATCTGGTATTTCATCACTTTAAAGCTATGAGTGATATTAGCTGTCAATACGTGTGTGAAGAAAAAGTTGGAATAGGAGTCATGTTTACACAGCCAGCTGTTGCTGCAACACATACTTGGCAGAGGGGAGTGGTTCCTCCAACTATTCAGTGCACACCAAACAACATTCACACTCTTTGGAAACAAAGTCACCGTACACTGTAAAATATATTATGTTTTTTTTTTCTTCTGCCGTGGCAAAAAAAGGTCATATGCTTAAAATTAATTATACTCTGTAATAAATCATCACAGTGTGATTGCACTGCTGCAATCACATTTCCCAACGTCTGGTCTCCACTACGCCCAGCATCACAGCAGCCGTCTCCAAAATGTAATTTTAGCTGGAGGGGAAATAGCGAGGCCTATTCTCCATATAACAACAACAGCAACGGCAAGAGCGGCAGCAGCAATAAAAATAAATAGGCTGAGTGTTATTTAAAAAAAAAAGAAGCCTCAAAAGCAATTCACAGTTACTTTGTTTTTGTAGTTACGAGGTTGTTTTTCTTTTGTCTTAAACAAATGTATATTTGCACGTCAAGAGTGCAAGAAAAGTTAGATTTATAGGCAGAGCATTCAGAAATATAAACACAATATTATTTTGAATGTCTCGTAGTCATCGGTATTTTCTAAAATATATATATATATATACACCCAGATGTTGGCAGTAATGCAACTCAAATGATCAAGTTTCTGTTAGTGAAAAAAAAGGCGTTATGGAGGTGTGTGGGAGGCTAACATGTCAATGTTAACATGGTAATTGGCCCAACAATAATTCACTTTAGAACAGCTTAGCTCCATCTACTGTTGAACTTATTCATGAATCATAATTGGTCAGAAGTTTCAAAGACAAATTGGAAAAAAAAGTCTAGACAAAGAATTCTTCCTTTGTTGGATTTTTTTTCTTGGAAACTGCTGAAAAACCCAACCCACGAAAAGACCAAACTCCAAACATCACGAACCATTTCATTCCAATCCAGTGCAGGAGAAACAGCTGAATGATCTCAACATGACACATTATTTCCTTCTTACCTTTCGTATTCCAAGTTGTCGTGGTCGCAGCGGGAGTCTTTGTGCTTCTCCCAGTCCTTCCCGTGACGACACGTCGTCAACAACACGATGTCCTTCCCATTGTGGATGTGATGCAGCGCGTTCCTGGTGTCTGAGCCGATGCCCGTCAGATAGCGCTTCCCTTTGAACATCAGCAGGTACTTCCTGCGTGGAGGAATGGTGTTTCTCACCAGCCAACCCCGCTCTCCGCCTTTCTGAGGGTGGTCCTTGGAGAAGAGCGGGATAGAGATGTCAAAACCTGGCCTGAAGTGTTCCGTATTGAGGCTGGCTTTGGCCAACATGGCCTGTCCAATGTTGAACCCCAGGTCCTCTGTGTAGTTTGGCCAAGTGCCTGAGTACAAGTTAAATATCAGGTGGTTCCGCCCGTCATTCCACAATGGGTAACCTCGCGTACGCTCGTCCACATTGTGGACAACTTGTCCCGATAACTGGTCCCGATCTAAGGTGTCTATCCCCAGAACAAATATACATGCTTCCCTGGGGTCTGGCGTGTAGTACCGAGACTCTCCTATAGAGGTAAGTATCTTCTTGTAGCTTTCTGATACGTGATCATTTTTCTCCGACGGATAAATATACACCCTGAATCCTTCCCGTCCTCTTCGGCGACACCTGGAGAAGTCAAAACAGGTCTCCATGCGGCAGCGACTGTCCTTATAAATGGTGGACCAGGTTTGCCGTCGCTGATGGGGCAACTCCACTGTGCCAGGGTCCGTTTGGAGCTCGTCCAGGTGGGCGTAGCGGGGCAGGAAGGCCTTGTCGGTCCAATTGGGCCAGGGCCTTACCACCTCGCTGCGGTGGCGTGTTAGCAGCCGCAGCATCCGCAGCTGGACTCCACCGCCCCAGTAGAAGAGGAGGACCCAGCAGCACGCACACAGGGCCAGCAGGACATACTTCTTCCTGGCCTGCATCAGGGCCTCTTTATTCCCCCCTGTCTATCGTCCCTTTTTAGTCTCTCTGCCCCTCAGCGCTGCGGCCTCACAGGGGCGGGTTATTGACTTCTAACAAGGAGCTTCTAACAGAGGCCAGTGTGTTAACAAGGACATCACTCCCTCAGAGTACGGGCCGGGGCCACTCTGCTGTTTGGAATCTGCGGCTCTTTCAGTTTCACACTGCTCTCCCCATTGGCTCCATGCTGAAGCTCTCAGATGAGTCTTTCACTCCGTCTCTGCGGCTGCCTTTGCTGCTGCTGTTTGCATCTCTTCTGCTGCTCTGCTTGCTCGAGAATGATGAAGCGTGACTTCTTCTTGCTCTCAGGCCGAGCTTGCCGCCTCATGGTGCTTGGCGCGACGGCAGCCGTCTGCAGAGCCCCTCCTGGAGAGACACAAACAAACAAACAAACAGATACAGATCATCAGTCTACATAAACAGTCAGGTCGTGAAACTACTACGGCTTCTGCTGCTGTCTCCAGAGATGTCATGAGTAACAGTCTGGACGGGTTCATGTGACGTGTCTTTATGTGGTTAGTTTTTCATTTTGGCGGGATGTTTTATCCTCAACCTCAAACCAGTTTTAATCCCCGTAAACACAAATGTAATCAAAAGGCAATACAGCACAGATGGACCAACTTTCCCAGGCAACAAGTGGAAGGTTAATAACTGTCTAAATTCATCATCTCAATGACTTGATGAGGAAAACAATATACTGTATATAAAACAACTGGAGTTATTGACTAACAGAAGGCTTTTTTTTCTTTTTCCAAATTGCATTTATTTGTACTTTATAACTACCTTTTAGCTTCCTCCAGAAAATAAGGAAGATAGTCAGAAAAGGCCAAACACTGCATTATTTCATGGAGCCATAACAGACTGGCTGGACGTTTCCTACTGAGGCATTGTGAAAATCGAATATATATTTTATAAAGGAACCCCTGTGTCAAGCCATCGCTTACTTCTCAACATGCTTCACACTTCACCTGTGAGAAATACTCAGCAGCAGACTGGACCTGGATGTCATTTGAGTTTCCTCAGATTACCGTCGGACTGAGTCACAGCCAGTTAAGGTGCAATAAAGGAAAAATATGGGACTGTCTACCATCTTAATGGGGCTTTTGGAAGTGGAACAGGAAAACAGGAGCCATTATAAGGCAACGAAATGAACATTCACCTTCGGACGTGCAGGGAGAAGGATACTTTTGTACGACATCAACGGTTTCTCCTCATGTTTGTCTGCCAAACATCAGCCCATAAGACCCCGGTGTGTACAGTATACTTGTATGTGTGTGGAGTGGGGGGGCTGGAAGGTGGGGGGGGGGGCGTCTCACACTGACGAGCAGTGTTCTTAGTGCCAGCTTCTAAACAAAGGCAGCTTTCAGGTCTCACCTGGCCACTCTCACTCCCTAACTCGCTCTCCTTCGGCCTTCCTCATTTCTGCCTCTTCTCCAGCCAAGCAGAAGTGATGCCTGTCTTCTGTGTTTGTGGGAACACAAACCGTACACTGACGACGTGGGTAAACACTCCGTCCTCTGATTTCCTCTAACGCACGCAGAGGAAACAGGGACATATTTGTAAAAAAAAACGGGGATTACAGGGCAGCGGTTTGTATGTTTAAGACGAACCAATAACGGTCCCAGTCTTCACTGCTGCTCACTCTTCTATTTGGTGAAGAGTGTAACGGTCAGTAGGCCAAAAGAACATTTAGAGGCCGTGTGGTCTTGTGTCTTTGAACGGAGACACACGTAGACAATAAAGCTCAAAATATAAGATAAGGTAAATGAAAAATGTAGCTGGCAGTATTTTATATTGATCATAAATATTAACCAATAGCTGTGAGTAGACATTTGGCTCTGAGCTAGCTACGCCTTAGCTGATACATAATTATTTGTCTTAAAGACAAACTAGAAAATCACAAACAGCATTGGCTAATTAACAATTAAGCCAAATGTATATTAATTAAAATACACAAAATAACAGCTTACGCTAAACAGAAGAAGAGACAGAAGCAGCTCAGTCCATATAAATAAATAAATATGTTAAGCTAAAGTTTAGCACAGTTAAAACTGTGCTGACCGTTCATTAAAATAGTTTGAAAATGTAGCTAACTATATGCAAATAGTTACTAAATTTACAAAATATTATTTAATATGATAGATGATAAAATACTTTATTTTAATAAAAGAATATATTTATATATTTATATATAGGATCCAAATGCGACCTTAATGCTAACACCGCTAACATCCTTTTCTGCCATGTACTGTAGCAGCATGTGACCTTTGCGTGAGTGGTCTAAATCTTGTCAAAGTGACTTCAACCATTACTCTTGGCGCCTGGATTCCGTCCGGATCATCTTTATTTAAATGGCTTCCCTCTGTTGCATGTGAGACCGGGGGATTTAGGAGCTGGTCCACAGTCTTGTACCTGATAATGCGGATCAGCTAATCTACTTGTAGAAGCTGTGAGTGGACGGACTTTTGTTGGCACCCTCCCTGATTCTACTGCAGCCACATCAGCAGCAGCAGCAGTAGGCCACGGTGTGGAAACACACACTTGGGATCCAATTACATATTCCTTATCAATAATTCATTTGCTCTCTTAGTTAAGCTATTGATTTTACTCCCTTTCTTCCTTTTTTTTTTTTTAGCTTCTTTATATCCCTTGCCACCAAAGCATACAATTAGACTTCAATCTCATCCAGTATAAACACACACACGTGAAAACTGTGTTTAAATCCTGTCCTTCAGATTTGTGGGTGCGTGCATAATTGAGGGGGGGGGGGGGGGGTGGAGGAGGGGGGTGTAATAGAAAAGTGATGGAGAGTATCGTCATGATGAGGGTAACGCTGACGGGTGAGGAGTGTTTATTGGATCCATCGTCTCTGAAGATTCACATGGCATCTGTTTTAGTATATCAACCCCCCCACGCTCCCTACGAAGGTCACAGGACGGAATTGATCCTGTAGGAAATCTTGGATTTACGGAACTCAGAACTGTCTAGAAATCCAGCCTAAATTCAGGACGACCTTTAGGTCTTAGGCTGGGACCTATTGCAGCAAAATCATCGTGGGAGGTCACAGTTCACCACGGAAGATCCAACAGGGCCTCACACAGACACTTAACAGACCAGTTAAGAAACTGTGAAGTCCAGCATTGTACCGGTGACCTTCTCATTGTAAGGCAAGAGCACTAACCACCCTTCTCCAGTGGTGCGCCTCAATAAAGAAAATACATAACCAGAAAAACATCCAGTCCTGATATCGTCCTCCGTTAACCACCCACAAATGACGAAGAGTGATGAGGATAAACCCGGGGAACCTCCAGGACCTGCCTGGACTCGACCTCATCCCCACGGCTGGTCCTCCTCACACGACATATGTATAACTGACACACGCACACATGCACAGCGGAGTGGCCTTAAGTGGTGAAGGAAGTCCCTCTGTCACGGATCAATGATGAATCATTACGGTCGAGTGACTCACCCTGGAAAACAGCCACGAGGCTCGTGGGATATAAGTGTCTGAAGGTGGGGGAGGAGGGGGGAGTGAGGGGGTGTAGGTTCAAGGAAAGGTGAGAGCAGGAGTCAGAGATGCTCATATCTGTCACCTGTTCTCTCTGTGTTTTTTATCCTCTGTGAGCTGACTGCAGGAGCTTCACCTTTAAAACACAAACCACTTTTGTCCTGTTTTTTGTTTTCGTCTCCTTTTTTCAATTATTCCTGCTTCATCCTCAAAGGGCAGCAGAGAGGGGAAACAAAACACTTAATCACAGACATGAGGAACACTGCGCTGCACGGACAACAACTCTTTGATTCTCTTGGCTTCTTTTCTCCCCGAGTGTAAAGAAACGAAGAAGAAGAAGAAAAAAAACATCCAGGAAGGTTCATTTAGAGGGAATGGGAAACGCAGAGAAATGTTGTCAGCACACGAAGAGTAAATAGTTAGAACAACGCAGAGAAAAGGCTTTGAATCAGCTAATGATAAAGGTCATCCCGTGTCCTGGGACCAGGCTACAGCAGATTTTCTTTATCTTGTAAAATTACCTCGAATCCTTCTCTAAGAAACTGCATTACCCTGTCCTTCTGGAAGAAACCCGCAGTACCTGGAGAAAAACCCTTCCACAAGATGACGCGAAGAAGAAGAAGAAGAAGAAATGTGTCAAAGAAGAGTCATGTCCTGAGTTCTTACGGCATCTGTTTAGGATGCAACCCCCAGACCTCATCTCTGGAAGTTCCTTAAAGACCAGCGTTAAAGCCTTAACGACAACAACATTTTACACTTTAGAAACTGACAGAATTAGTCTTCGAGTTGTTTGTTCGGCTGAATTATAGGACATTCGACGCCACCTGTGATGTACAACAGCCAATAAGGGAGGTTGAAATGACCAACATTTCATGCGTGACAGTCGCCTCTGTCCCTCAGCGTCCCATCCTGGAAATCTCTCCCTTCTGATCTCTCCGTCTGAGAGCTCTAAACTGTTTCACTACCTGCTGCTGCTTCTCCCAGGACAGAATTATCAAATCATCGGCAGTAAAGGTAGAAGAAACGTGGTCATTCCATCTGTGTCTCAGTGATTTGTGTTTATACAGCAGCTCATTCCACCGAGCGGTTGCGGCGGCGGCGGCGGCTGAGGGTGGAAATGA